ACTATAGTCCCGAAAATTTCCTGTTTCAGCACAGGAAGGGATATGTCAATGCAATAATCGGCCAGTTTGCTATAGTGTAGGAGAGAGCGTGCGAGCTCAGGAGGGAATGCGAAATCAAGGTTCGTTTTGAGACTTGACGTGCTGATCGACGGGAGTACTATGGCAGAGCCAAATTTCGCATTGACGCTGTCGGGATCAGTCCGCATGGCCAGAGTTGGATCAGCCGGACCCAGAATGCGACGCAGAGTTTCTCCACAGTTCGGTCCTCGCAAGCAAACAAGCAGCTTGGGATGGTCATCGATCAGTTGCCGCCCTACAAATGGCAGGTGTGCGCTCACAGGAGCGTCCTTCAAAGCGGCAGTACGCAGACCGATCACTGTTATACCATTGGCACTTGCCATTTCAATCAAGTGCCTCAGAGCTTCCATACATGAGATCGGTAGAGCAATCGTCACACTCTGCTCGAACCTCTCCGATGTGGGAGAGGACGGAGCGCAGGAGGCGGCGGCATGCGGAGGCGTGGCCAGGTCTCGGAGTGCATCAGACGTATTCACTTTCTTGACACGTGAATAGGAGCCCAACTCTCGTGCTACTGCAGTCCACTGTCGGCCTTCGATCGCCACAATGATCTTGTCCCCTTGCCATTCCAAAGCAGCAAGAGCCTCTGGATGGCCCATGACGTGACATGCTACTCTCACGATATCAGGAGCGAGCTCCGAACCACACTCGATTTCAAAGCACTCCAGTTGCGACTCGGGACAGGTCTTGAGCATTGACGTCACGATTGGACTCGACGGCCTCTCGCTTCGGTCGACGTCGGAGTTTCCGCTGTGGGTAGGACTCGAGGTAGCGGAGCTGCATGGCGAGCTCAGCCGGCGAGTCTCTTTGAGAGGGTCCGCTTTAGTTTTCAAATTGTTAGTGGCAGCGAAAGTGGTCAGGGACCGTCTGATAGCAGTCTCTACCACTCTACGTAGGAACGACAGCCTACCGATGCTTTCTATCGACTAAGTTCTGATGCATATTGTATTTCTCTTGCAGTGCGTGGGCCAATCTGTCTACTTCTAGGCGTTTTGTTGATACCTCGCGACTCGGCTCGGGCATGAATCCACTCGTTCCTGGTCTGACACATAGAGATTCTTAGGGGGCGTGAGAACACCGCGAATTACCTATTCACTTCAGCCCGCTTGGACTCTGCGAAAGCAATGTATCGGGCGCGTTCTTGATCCGTCATTTTCTCAATCATACGTAAGCAGTTGCCAGATTTGAAAGGGTTCTCTTCCTTCACATGTTCTTCCTTGCGCTGTTTGACCTCTCTACCCTTCGCGGTCCCCTCTAGCATTCGTTCCCAACCAACGAAATCTTCGTCTCTCATGGTTGGTCTTCCCGGAGGCCGCGGTAGCTTCTGACTCTCTCGCCAACAGCGGATCGCCACATCATTGTCCACCCCTGCTTTCATACTTTTCCTCATCATGTGTGCGCTAGCGATCTCAACATCTTGTTCGCCGATAGGTGGTGTTCTTCTCCTGTGGTTCGACTCGTCATCACGCTCTCTATCCTCCAAGTTCGGCGCATTGGATGCCCCGATCTGATCAATCAGTTTCGGGTTCTGCAATGACCTCGTATGTAGCGAGGAACTAGCCATAGTTCCACCATTTTTCACCACTGCATCGCTAACGGACCTCGGTGCACTATTGGCTACTTTTGGCGACCGCTTTAGCGGCTCCTCTGTACCGTAAGCGCGGTCTCTACTGAAGACTTCAGCGACCTCATCGCCACTTTCTTCAGAGTTAGGCTCGTCTGCCACCGTACTCGGTAGTTTAGCCTTAACGTGAGCATAAATAGCAGCAAACTCGTCACCCAAAGTGCGATCAAAAATAGAGTAGTTTGAAGGGGCTTCAAACTCGAACTTCTTGACCGTTGACTTGACGACTTTTAGCTCTCTATACTCGTTGGAATCCTTAGTTGCACTGAGAGCTCGAAGTTTCACGAGCACACACAGACCTTTCTCAGACTACGTCGTTATAAAGCGCCACTGTCGTTCGAGCGCTTCGGCAGAGAATAACTGTCCGACATCACCAACAGACAGGCCCGGGTCCTCACAGCAGAGCTGTTGCCGCACCTGTACGTGGAGGGTTTGCGAAAGCAATGTGAAAAAATATGCACATGCCCAACCACATGCGTTGGTGACAATATAAAAATTTTCATATTGTCACCAACACATGTGTAATTTCATTGAAAATCCTAAAGAAAATTTCGGGAAATCCTTACCAAACTCTGAACACTTCTATCCTAATTCGTATATAGAATTCTATAGCTAGCGAGGAAACTCCTGAGCTCAACTGTGAACCACGAGAGGGACCATACCCAAAAAGAAAAGAGGTGCTTACTTCCTCAAATTCGCTTGCCACCTTATCGAAATCTTGATCATTGCGTTCCACACTAGCCAGAAGCTGCGCACGTAACCCTTCGGGGAACGAACAAGATTGGTTATGCATGATTCCAGCAACTCTAAGGGGATTCATTTCGCCTTGATAGAAATATTAACACAACTTGTAATCAACTTCACTAGATTGTGAGAAACCCTGAAATTCGAAGCTCGCAGTAATATTCGAGTTAAGAAAGGAAGTAGAATTGAACATGTGCAAGCTATGATCTAATCTAATGCGAATCGAGCTATATTAATAGATGCTTACATAGTCAAGAAACAAACAACGATCCAGAAAAGAGTGAATCCAATGAGAAAAAGTCTTCCCTATGTGAACAACTCCTCATACACTGATCATCTCGCATTCGGGAACCCTAGGTTTCAATGCCGACCGAAATACTCTATCCCAATCCTTGGGGCCGTAGTCTGCAACTCTCGGTTGAGCCTCAATAGTAGCCCATGCACACTCCGTTTCAATAGATAGAGCATTGACACCACTCTTGACATAGAAATAGCCCTTGTCACCCCAGAAGCTCCCCCACGAGTTCTTCACTATCCAGTATTCGCCCTTCTCGGGATCGACGGCCCAGCCAACAATCACAACGTCATGATCAGTCTCCAACTGCTCGTCCTTAACATTGACAATGTTCGTCCTTGGCGTACCGTCTCCTTCGACCAGACTTGCAGTGATGGCGCAAGAGATAGGGCCTCGAGTAAAGATCTCCGCTTTCATTTGGTGAACTGTGGGGTTCTCCATCTTACCATATTCATCAACATAGTACTTACCATACCTGCAAAGAACGATCTATATAATAGCCATACAAAACACTAGGCACTCACCTTTGCACTGGATAGCATGGCGCTCCCACACTAGGAGGATCACAGTTAATGCACTTGTGAATATCAGTACACTCCTGCTCCTCAGCAATATACCCTTGACACGAGTCATCAGGAATACCATATAGCGAGGCATACACAAAGACACCATAATCAGAACCACCATCACAGCTTCCAGCGACTTCACCACCACAGTTCAACACCACTTGACGTGCTAACATCACCTCTGGCCATTGACCTTTACGAGCAATCTTCAGTCTGTCATTCAGGACACCCACGCCTGCATGTAACCAGCACGAACCGCAATATCTCGGAGCATGCTGATTGAGAACAGGAGTGATGAAGTTGGTCCCGTCAACGTTTCTCCAATCGAAATGCTCAGGTAGAGACTCCTCGGTCCTGTATGTATATGGCAACGGATGGATCACACGCTCAGGCATGTCATCGGCGGGCATGTCATTACGAGAGCAGTTGCAGTTACCACTGACCAACACAATCGCCGATAAGGAGAGGATCGCCGCTTTGAGAAACATAAGGAAGTTATATAGCTACCCAACGAGAGATCAACTGTAGCTGAGAATGCTGCAAATTCCACCTCGACAAGTTGAACCATCCTAACATTGGAGTACGTTCAAGCTCTAGCTTACCGGTGCTACATTCTTTTCGG